TGTGATGTAGTTTCCATGTCATTCTCTGCCTAAAGGTAATCCAATAACCGGGCATGATGGGATGTTCTAGGAGGGAAGTGGCACCCTTAAGGTGTTTGACCTGATAATGATGTCACATTACACTCTGGTTTATAAGTTATAACTAATCTATTTGCAGTCAAGTCAGTTTAAAACTGATTCCTTTGCCAGGTGTTATAGTAAAAAAATTTTTTTCCACATAGCAACTCTTAAAGAATCTCAAATAACTTCATAAAAATAGGTGCTATGACCAGTTTGTTTTCAATAGGTTGAATGTAGTGGAAAGCTCAGTACAACATTTATAAAGGTTACTGTCCTCTCCTCCAACATGTTGGTTGACCTTTCCCCTTTTGCTGTTGCTGATGATGTCATTCGATTATGCCAGGTTGCACCATGCCCTCTAGCACTTCTTATCAGAATTTTATAAATGAGTCTTTCATTTTACAAACTACATAAAGACTATGTAGTTTATTGGGTTTGACTGCATTGGTGGCATGACTCAGCAGAAACTAATTTTAGTTTGCTTTTTCATAGAAAGTTTTTTCTTCTTAAAAATGTTTTAATAATTGATCAAATTTCACATACTTTCTTTCTAACATGTGTACTTCATTAGTATGGAAGAGACTATGGGAGCTTACCAAGGGCTATCAGATCATATTAAACTTTAATTTCTAAGTATAAAGCATCAACATTGCAAACAGTCTCCCTTGATGGGTTTTATTAATCCATGCCACTTGATCCTTTTTCAAAGAGATATTCCGATTTTATTTCAAAGAGCATTTCTCTGTCTTTATCATTAAGATTGCCAATTTTCATGGATCCAACTTTTTAAATTTAGATCATAAGAAGAAACAAACTCTGGGAAACACTATTTAAAGCCTAAACCTTAACATAAAAACAAAACTGTTATATTTGCTTTTTGTGCCAATAGGATGAAACTGAATACTATGTAGGAAAATACTGATGCAATTGAATGCAGTACAATTTCATCTGAATTGGTTGATTTAATTAAGTTCAATCATGTTTATTGAAGGCTATTGTATAACAGGCACTGTGCTAGGTGCTGAAGGCATACAGAGAGCAGTAAGATGCAGTACTAGCCTTCGGAAAGTGTGTAATCTGTTCAGAACACTGAAATGTACACAGAAGACCATTATCCAGAGAGACAGGGCCTGAGTACTAAATGTATGCAGATGGAAGAAAGAGCAGGCAAATCTGGTTCAGGGGATCAGAGAAGATTTCCTTCTCCAGGAAAGACAACATTTTCTAGCCCATGAAGGATCTTGTATTAAATTTATATCTCTCTTGTGAAACTGAATTGCCCAAGCTACATTCACCTGTGGGCCAAATTGGGGTCACATTCACCTAATTTGTTTCCTTTTACTGGTTTGTGCTCTAAGCACAAGCAGCCCAATCTATTATACTTACAGTACAGTTTCACCCTGTACTTGAACACCTTCACCACTGAATTGACATGAGGAATCTATACTAATAAAAGGGTAATATGCAAATTGGTCAGGACACCCTCACAATAATGACCAAACAGCAGGCTGTGTGGGGCGACCAGGCCGGCAGAGGGAGTTAGTGAGAGACAACCAAATGACTGAACTGCAGGCTGCATAGGGTGACCAGGCTGGCGGGGGAGAGGGGGGGCAGTGAGGGACGACCAGGCCAGCAGAGTAGGGAAGGGAGGGGTGACCGGGCCGATTTAAGGATGTCTGACTGCTGATTTAGGCCCAATTCCTAGGCCTGCCTGATCACCCCTAACTGCCCTCCTAATGATCTGGTCACCCCCAACTGCTCCCTCTGCTTGCCTGGCCACTCCTAACTCCCCATCCACACACACACACACACCAGCCTGGTTGCCCTCACTGCCTCCCCTGCTGGTCTGGTCGCCCTATGCAGCCTGCTTTTTGTCCTTTGGTCCCCATTCAGTGCCCTCCCTGCTAATCTGGGTGCCTCATGCAACCAAATGTCCCTCATTAACCTCCCTGCTGGCCTGGTCACCCCAGGCAGCCTTGTTTGTTGTCCATTTGGTTGTTTCGATTGCAACAGTTGCTTAGGTTTTTATATATATATATATATATATATATATATATATATATATATATATATATATAGAATAGCAGTCCAGTGCACCAATTTGGGGCAGGGCCTGTTGGGAAAAGGAGATGGCTGGATGTTGACTGGCCAGCCATTCCAATCACCAATCAGGGCCTGGCCACCTGTGGGGAGGGGCTGCGGGTGATTGGCAGGTAGGCCCTCCTCCCAATTAGGATTAGGGGACTAATTGGGGGTGAGGCCAGACATGGGGAGGAGCTGAAGATGCTGGGCTGGCCAATCTCACCCCCAAATGGGTGGAGGTGCTGATTAGGGCCAGTGGCCTGGGAGAGGGGCCATGGGTAATTAGCCAGTGGCCCTGCTCCTGATTGGGTTGGGGGGTGCTATCTGGAGTGGGGCCAGATGGGGAAGGGGCTGCAGGAGGTTGGCCAATGGGACATCCCCTATTGGGTGGGAGAGTTCGGTAGTGGGCAGTACTTATTAAAGGATACTTTTGAGAACAGTAACTGGGAAGAATGGGAAAAGAGCAAATTTGAGCAGAGGAATAAGTAAAGCTGCAATGATGGCCAGGGATCAGCCTCAGCTAACCACATAGAGAGTTCTTGAGTCAATGGGGGAAAATGAAGACATATGTACCTGATCAGGTAGTTCGCTGGCCATAGTGTGAGTCATATCAACCGGCTGTTACAGTCATTATGATGTTATGGTTGCTGGTGATATATATATATATATATATATATATATATATATATATATATATATATATAATTCATGGAAGAACTATTATTATTTTATACTTGTACTGTAAATCTCATCAAAAAGAATTGACTAATGACTCATTTTGTAAGAAAAGTAAAGTAAAAAGAGATAGTTTGCAATCTTGCTCCCATCCCTCCTCCAGACAAATCCCATTTTAGATCCATAAGTTGAGGAATGATGGAAGAAAGAGAAGGGAGAAAGATGAATTTCTCCTTTAGCTCTGTACACTTTAAGTAACAAGGTATTTTGCATCTGTTTTTTCTTGAGACTTTGCTAGTCTATTATGCAACTGCATATTTATACCTGTCCACTGAATAAAAACAAGGGTAATGGTTGTTGCACCAACAAAATCTCATAGAGAGACATATGGGATAAGCTGCCAAAATTTTGCTGTACTTATTTCCAGGTATCTGTCTTCCAGAACATTCCATCTGTAATTAGAGCATAACACCCAGCTAGGTAAATATGGGTTTCTAAACACTCTCTATAATTAAAAAATAGACAACAAGAAAGTTCTCCTCTATAACCTATACCTCTCTATACCTACTTTTTACAGAGTGCATAATCTTGATGAGACTGGCTGACATACTGATGCATAGTTTGCTGTTTAGAATAAATTCATTTGGTTAACTGTCAATCTTGCCAATGAAAAGGGTAATTATTTGTAAAAACAAAATGAAAAAAGTTCTGATTTTATTCATTATGTTCTCTTGTTGGAAACAGATGTTACCATGCAGTTAAAAATCCCTTTGCTTTTAATTAAACTTTATATTTTCGAGATATCTAGAGTTCCATGCACACTTGTAAGAAATAATACAGAGAGATCTGTGTGTTCTTCCCTCACTTTCTCCCAGGGTAACATTTTGCAAACTTGAGTGGAGTATAATATTACAACAACCAGTATATTGATATTGATATACTCATGAGATAATCTAATCCTATTCAGATTTTCCAAGTCTTACATTTAGTGTATATGTGTGTGTGTGTGTGTGTGTGAGAGAGAGAGAGAGAGAGAGAGAGAGAGAGAGAGAGAGAGAGAGAGGTGTGTAGTATATTTATTTCTATGCAATTTTATCATGCTTATGTTCTTATAGCCACCACAGTCAAATACAGAATTGTTCCATTTCCACAAGGGTCTCTCATATTGCCCTTTTATAACCAAAACCACCTCCCTAACCTCCATTTTTAATTCATAACAAATACCAAAATGTTCTTTATTTTTATAATTTTGTCATATCAAGAAGGCTATATATATATGGATATATACAGGTAAGTAATTTTTAAAAAAATGTATTTTATTGATTTTTTACAGGGAGAGGGACAGAGAGCTAGAAACATCGATGAGAAAGAATCATCGACCAACTGCCTCCTGCATAACCCTACTGGGGATATGCTCGCAACCAATGTACATGCCCTTGACTGGAATCGAACCTGGGACCCTTCAGTCTGTAGGCTGACGCTTTATACACTGAGCCAAACTGGTTTCTGCATTAGTAATTTTGAATTGTGTCCAATTTATTATATCTATCAGTAATTTTTATTGAATTACTGCTGAGGAGTAATTCAATAGTACAGGTGTACCTCCATCTACTTAACAGTCAGCTGTTGCAAGATTTCTGGGATGTTTCCAGTTTTTGTGAATTATTAATAAAGTTGCTGTTTCCAGTTTGTATAATTGTAATGAAGCTGCTGTGAACAGTCTTACATACTTTTTTGTATGAATATAGGTTTTCATTTCCCTGAGATAGACGCCCAATAGTGCAATCTCTGGGTTGTATGGCAATTGCATGCTCAGATTTATAAGAAACTGCCAAACTGTTTTCCAAAGTGACTATACCATTTTATATTCCCACCAAAAAATGAGTTTTCTACCTTTTTTTTACATCATATTAGTCTGTGCAAGTGACAAAATTAGTAAACAAATACATGACCCATGAAAAAAACAGCTCGTAAAGTGTCAATTCACAAAAGTCCAAAGGGTAAAAAGGCAGGTGCTAGATAAAACAAAGCTACCTCGAGCAACGGCCTCTCTCTGCCTTGCCTCAGCTCCTAACACTTATTACAGGTAAGCTCCATATTCATAGAAAGTTCCAATGTGCCCTAAAGCTTTTCTTTGGTGTAAATTAAAATAAACAAATCTTTATTTTTTCCAAAACAGGATCATGGCCTCTAAAATGCTTCAAGTGGCTCTGTGTTCAACTTTGCTTATAGGTAAGAACTATTTGTTTCTATTTATATCTTACAACTACTAGGTCGATAGATAAGCCCTTTTGACTTTTTAAAGACATGAATAAACAGGCTTTATATATAGACCAATTCTAAAGCCTTGAGGAAAGCAAACTATGTGTTTTTGAACACACTATTGTTAATTGTGTGTGTGTGTGTGTGTATGTGTGTGTGTGTGTGTGTGTGTGTGTGTGAGAGAGAGAGAGAGAGAGAGAGAGAGAGAGAGAGAGAGAGAGATCATCATATTCCTAATTATGTGTTAACATAGTAACATGTTACTGTTGCTAAGAAATCTATTTAACAGCTGCCACCAAAAAAGTGCTCTGGTGTCCTTGAGCAAAGAAGAAATTTAAATGCCTTTTAGAAACTGTAATACTTACATAGTACTATTATGTTGGGACCTCAAGGTACTTTGAGAGTATGAATTCACTAACCTTTAGGGCAAGCAGTAGCTCAGAGAAATGCTGTTTTAAAGGCAGATCAAGGAAGGCACTGGAGGCCAGATAATTTGCTGCCAAATTGGTCCAGTAATTCAATGGCTTAAATCTGAATTTAACTGAGAGATCTTTTGTTTTTCTTGTGACCAAAACTGAAGATACTCACAAAGGTATGTTATTCTCATAGTTAAATATATGAAATTTATAAATACTCTGAGGTAGATGCTTAAATCAGAATAAATTTCTACTTTTATAATACACCTCTGAGAATCATATAAAAATTATGTACTCTGCTTGAGGTACACACACACACACACACACACACACACACAAATAGATATATATCTATATCTAAGTCATTTTTTGTATTTCATTTGTTTTTTGCATTATATTTTAATTTTATTTTTCAATTAAAGTCTACACTGAATGTTATTTCATTTTAATTTCATGTGTACAGCATAATGGTTAGCCAATCATATACTTTATAAATAATCTCCTGATATTTCAAGTACCTACATGGCATCATACATAGGTATTACAATATTACTGTCTATGATTCTTATGCTGTACTTTACATCTCCATGACTATTTTATAACTAACAATTTGTACTTCTTTTCTTTTAAAGCAAAGTGGGATTTGTTGAAGATATACTACAAACAAGGAGTAGGCCAGTCCAGAGAGAAAGTGGCCTCAAACTCCTGGGTTATACAGTTTAAAAAAGGGATTTTTCTGGGTGGAGACTTTCATTTGCATTCAGGAATGATTGATAGAAAAGGGTTACGTAACTGTATTTCTTCTGCATATGTCCTTACCCACCATAATGCATACAGAAAAAACTCCAATTTATACTTCTTAATATCTTCATTTTTTCACCCAGTCCTCCAACCCCTCTCCCTGTGGCAACCATCAGTCTGTTCTCAGTACCTATGCATTTGTTTCTATTTTATTTGTTTATGTTACCCTTTAGATTTCACATATAAGTGAAATCATATGGTATTTAACTTTTTCTGTCTGGCTTATTTCATTTGGCATAATTTCACTCTAGGTCCATTCATGCTGTTGCAAGTAGTAGATCTCATTCTTTTTTATGGCTAAATAATATTCCACTTTATATCTGTTCCACCACTTTTTTTATCCATTTGTCTATTAATGGGCTCTTGGGTTGCTTCCATATCTTGGCTACTGTAAATAACACTGCAAGTAACAGAAGGGTACATATATATTTTTTGAACCAGTTGGATTTCTTCAAATATATACCCCAAAGTGAAATTGCTGAGACATAAGGCAGTTCCATTTTTAACTTTCTGGAGAATTTTTACACTGTTTGCCACAGTGGCTGCACCAGTCTGTATTCCCACCAACTGTGCACTATATCTAGACTATTAATCTAGGTATATATGAGAATACATAATTAGCCTTTTATTCCTAAGCTTGTGAATAATTTTGTTAACATAAGATACATTCAAACCTGTAAATAATTTTTGTGAGTTCATTTGAGCTAAACTGTCGACAATTGCTGGGAAACAGAATCTCAATGTATTGGCATAATGCTCTGAAAAATGGTGGTTTTCACCTATTTTTACAAATTACCATCAAAGGAGAAGACATAGGAGGAGACATAAGTGGGTTGGATGAAATCCATTGGTGATAGATTAGGGAAATGGGAGAAAGCCAACGATATGTCTGAGATTGGATAAAAAGTAAAATGATAGATACATGCTTCTTTTACATAGATGGGTAGAGGATAACTAACAGTCAACAATTAACACAATAACAATGAGGGAATTTGTGGCCTGTGCCCTGGTGTATTGGTTGTGCCCTGAAAGGTTCAGAAAAAGGGAAATTACAAGTTACCCTGACATTCCAAAGGTATGTTATCATTGATGCAAAAAGACAACAGTCTTGGTTAAGATCAAAGTTTATCTTTCTCAGGGAAGATACCTGCCTAGGAAATGACTGCCCACCATAACTGCTTTTAGTTAAAGTTTTTTTTTTTTAAATATATTTTATTGATTTTTGTACAGAGAGGAAGGGAGAGAGATAGAGAGTTAGAAACATCAATGAGAGAGGGTCATCGATCAGCTGCCTCTTGCACACCCCCTACTGGGGATATGCCCACAACCAAGGTACATGCCCTTGACCAGAATCGAACCCGGGGCCCTTCAGTCCCCAAGCCGACGCTCTATCCATTGAGCCAAACCAGTCCTGGCCAGTTAAAGTTTTAATTTCAGACTGTCCTTTGTGGTTACTTTGGGTCTTTGAGTTTGCAAGACTGACATAGGTGGGTTAGATGAAATCCATTGGTGATAGATTAGGAAAATGGGAGAAAGGCTCAGGCTTCCCTGAGCTAGTCAGGTTAGCATGTGGCCCCTTTTCATCCACAATTTTAGTAAAGAGGTCTTTTTAATCCTCACCTGAGGATATGTTTTTATTAATTTTAGAGAGAAAGGAAAAAAGAGGAAGAGGAGAGAAAGAGAGAGAGAGAAAGAGAGAAAGAGACATGAATTGGTTGCCTCCTGTACATGACCCACCTACTGCACTCTGACATACATCGAACCCAGGCAGGGCTTCATAAAGAGTTTTAATCATCAATATTGCACTTTGTATTTGAGACATGTTTAATTAAATTATTTATAATTTTTTTATTGATTATGGTATCACATAATTGTCCTCTACCCATTCCCATCCCAAACCCCTCCCTAGATATGCCCTCCCCATCCCCCGTTGTCCATGGCCACTGGCTAGGCCCATATGTATGCACACAAGTCCTTTGGTTGATCTCTTCCCCTTACCCCTATCCTTCCTTACTTTCCCTCTGAAGTTTGAGAGTCTGATCGCTGGTTCTATTTCTCAGGGTCTGTTTATGTTGTTCATTATTTCCTTTAGATGTGTGAGATCACCCTTGTAAGAACCTAAACTGCAACAAGCCATAATGGTTATGCTGAGAGGCAAATGAATCAGTCTGTAGTGAGTTCCTTTCTGGGCCAACAGTTCTTTTGAGTCCCAATTTCAATGCCAGATAGTTCCTTATGTGTTACATGCCAGCCATGATATTTCAGATCTGGTTGGTGGACAAATGGTGGTAATGCAGGTCCACCCATCTGCGGTTTGTAAATTTTTAACCACATTAATTTAAAGCAATTATCATCACACCAAGTTACAGCCTATATCTCCGGATGAGAAAAGTGAGTTTGGCTCAGTTTGAATGAGTGAGGAGCACACTGCAAACTGAAGCCATGGGCTAGTTATAATCCATCAGTATAACGCTTTGCCTTGACTGCTGATCCATGCAATTGACTTTAGAGTGGGTGACAGTGATAACTGCAAGGCTAAAAGCACTACATTTGGTCCACATTCCCCTGTGAACACTACAGGGTCAAAAATATCTGGCAAAGGGAAAATGGTTCTGCAAAAGTGATTTTTTGTGCACTTAGAAGTTGGTATTAACTTTAACCCCAGCTGAAATACAAATATATCTACCTATAAAGAAACTGCTTTGACTCACTTCACTTAGTAGTGAATAAATGAATGAATGACTGAGTTTATGTCACTGAAGATACAAGCTGAGATCAGAAATTAAGGACAGAGGACTGTTAACACTGCAGGTGCCTTTCAGATCTCAGGAAAGAAGCCTTTATTGCTTGCAGGCTGAAGAGACTGAAGTCTTAGAATCCATTTGTTAAACTAGTAACTAATTTAACCAACATTTTCTAAATCATACAGCTCTGAAGTAGGAAAATATTAGCTTGAATCAACTTTCTTTACTACTCCTCCCTCCCTTTTTTATATAAGAATGTAGCCTCTTCATCTATTCCTCCTTGGAGCCTTTCTGCTTATCATAAGAAAACAACAATTTATTTATTTTATTTTTTTAATTTTTTTTTCTATGTGACTTTTCTTTTATTGGGACTTAGGGGGTGGGTAACTTGGTGGTTATACCTCACCAGGGTACTGTCCATCCTAATCCTCCTGGGCCAGCGTTAGCTTTTTCTTTTTCTTGGAGCTCTTGTTGCTAACAGCCTCTTCAGGTCCACTGCTGAGAGGTTCCTCCTTCAAAGAGAGTTTCCTCTTTTTCTTGAGAACACTCCTGAGAAAACAACAATTTAAAAATTTTGTTTGTTTCTGTTATTTAAAAAAGTTTTCTCTGTTACAGATTAGTTGTCTAACAAATTACTTTTATCTGGAACTTAATTTGAAGTAAATAGGGAAAAGATCTCATTATCTATTTTCCTAATGGGACTGCTGACGCTAAAAATGATAGTCTTATTCAAGTAATTACACTTCTGGGCCAAGTCCCCAAATTATTTTATTGATTTTCTCAAAATAGTAACTTACACATTGGAGATGATTTCCTAGTCAGAGAATTAGAAGTCAAGTGTCATAATTTGATTACAAAACAAAGCAACTCTTTCTTTAGCATTTAGGTCAAAATTGTTCTCTCCTATAATAAATCAACAAATATTGCTACTTTAAGTCTTTATTATGTGTCAGAGGTAGTCCATATGTTACCTTAATTCAACTCTCAGAATCACTCTGCAAATAGATGT